ACTTTTGCCAGTCTAACTGCTGCTGCCATGTCTGCGGGCGCTTGCTGTTTAACTGACATTCTAATCGTGGGGCTGAGCCCGTTTAAAAATAACTTGAGCTTCATTCTGTCTGTCATTTCTGCTGGATTGCATTCTTGCCAGATTCTATCTAGCGCAGCTTTATATACTTCAACTGGTTCTCCAGGCTTCTGCATTCTTTTGCTTGCAATTTTGAGAGCTTCTCCCTTAGTATCTTCATTTGCAAATTCGGCAATAAACCTTTGCTTAAAACCCAAATGGCCTGCATTATCATTATCCCAATCAGTGATTTGTTGTAGTTCGATCCACTCTTGATAGGGTCCCATATGACAAGCTGCAATTCCTAATCGCTTGTTGTTGTTATTGTCTGCAACTCCATTAGCCTTCATGGCTTTTTCTAACTGAGCTAGCCATAATCGGGGGTTGGTGCTGCTAAATACTGGGTACGCTACTGTGGCCATTTCTTCTTCGTTGTCTTGGGGTGGTACTGGGCTTGCTACTCTTGATGATGCTTGGGATGATTCTTCTAACTCTTCGTCTGATGGGTCTAGGTTATTTGGTGGATTTCCTTGATTTTGGTCTTCGACTTGATTTTCTTCAAGGGTTTCTTGATCACTTTCTTGATGATTGCCTTGATTTGCAGGTGGATCTTGATTTTCTATTTGATTCTCTTCCTGTTGTTCTGGCTCTTCTTGATCCGAGTCTTGATCTAGGTTATTATTAGCAGGGTTTTCAGGGATAATTCACTCGTTTTCTGGTGTGTCTTGGTCGTTTTCGACTTCTCTGTGGCCAAATATTTCGTCTGGAATTTCTCAGTTTGGTAGGGTATCGTACTCGTCTTCGCTATCTTCGTTAATATCTTGTAATTCAGTTGTACCAATTGAGCCCAAAAGCGAAAGTTCTTTCTCTTTTTCCTCGTTGTCAGGTTGGTATAGTGGTCCTAGGTCTGGGGTACGATAATTACTAGTTGTTGCTACACTGCCGGGGCTGGCTGGATTTCTTTCTCAGGCTTTTCCTTTTCTATTTTCCGTCTCGGTTACTTGCAAATATTCAGCGACTTGATTTTGTAATTCTTGTGTCCTTGTTCGGCTTATTGGTTCACTTACACTAAAATCTGCTAAATATATTCTTCCTGTTGCTGACGGGTTGACTAGTGCTTCGACTAACGATGTGACTCTTAGAGGTGCATACAGAAATACTGTTGCTTTAATTAGTCGGAGGGCTGCTTGAAATTTTCTCGTGCTATCTTGCCACTCTACAAATCGGTTGTAAGTGATTTGAGATACGCGTCCGTCGTATCTATATATTAATAGACGATAATTTTCAAAAGCAGGGCTAGTTTGCTGGGTGATTTGGTAGCAAACACTGCACGCGTCAGATCAGAATTCTTCGAGCGCGTTTTTCTTAAACGGGTTTGTTCTGTGAACGTGATTGTGTATGTATATGTGCTGCCAATATGTTTCTTGATGTGCTTCGACTTGTAGCTGTAACTGCTGTATTCTTGTTGCTCTTGCCAGGATTACTGATTTTCTTTGTGGTTCGTGTTCGTTTAATTCGCTATGTGGACTGAATTCCACGGAATCCCCACCAATTGTCGGATCGCCACACGTGGGAGAGCGTTCGTGTAACGACCTTGGGATTTAGTCGTCTTCCGGCGGAACTCTTAG